GACATAAAGTTGAGTCATAACAGACGCGCAATTCAACTCAACCAAACGTACTTTTCGTCGAGTAAGGAACTTTTCAGTCTCGGCGCACTTAATTTTACATGACATATTTGTTTACGTCTGATCCTTTATGTCAAAGATGGAAATTAGTTATTTCTAATTGTGTGTTTATTAATTCCGATAAATAATCTAGTGTGTGAAATTAGTTATTTCTAAGTGTGTATTTATTAACTCCGATAAATAAACTTTTCTCCCTTTTGCAGCGCAATCAAAACTTTGAGCATCAAGCCAAAATCGTATTTTTCACTTTACAAAATATTAGTGCAGGCTTTTATCTTCAAATAAACTTTAAATCTTTTGAATGGACTGCTGATGCTCAGATGTTTTAATTTTTCGCTGGAAATGATATTAGTTTCCCTTTCTTTTGGTGGCAGATACGGTAGTTAATTAATTTTTTTTTGTCAAATCGGTAATCAATCCATTTTAGCAAACCCACATACTGATTGATTACAGCTTGTGACTCAGCGGCGCCGGTGATGTAGTGGTTAGCGTGGTTACCTCTCACCCCAGCAGGCCTGGGTTCAATCCCAGTCGGCGCCGGCGGTAGGGTCCAGTTATGTGGGAGCTGACGTCCTGGCGTCGGTAGCATTGGTGCTCAGCATGGAAGACAAGATCGATGGAAAACAAATCAAGGAAAATAAAAAATACGCCATATTATTAAAAAAATGAATAATGTCTGCAATTCCACTAAATATCCAGGAAAAGTTTTGTGTTGAAACTTAATGATGAATCGTAATCTCGGACGTAAGAAAATTAAATTCTGGGGAATTGTGATTGTTACTTCATTAAGAAAATTTTAAGTCGGAAGCAGATTTGTCTCGCACTACAGTAACTTATTTTTTTTTGTATTTTCAGACTTGAAGAAAAGATACACTCATACAAAAGAAAAATCAAGGTTGTAGGATTTCGAAATTTTTTGAAATAGATAAATTCTTTAGAAAGCAATCGTTAAGCATTGTTCAAGTTTTGAAACTCAATGGAGATTTATGTAAATCCACTCTGAGACCATAATAAAGAAATTATACAGATTTTTGTCAGCCTAATAGAGATTAAACAGATTTGTTTGCAATGAAAATATATATTGAAATTCGAAAAAAAAAGTGGCATCACTGCTCAGCGCATGAGTAACCTACGCTTTTGAAAATTTCTCCATACGAATGAGTAAAAGTGACTCACTCTCTGAGTAAGATCCGTTCTAGAATAATGAAAGTAAACTAAAACTATATGTTGTATATCTGGGGTTTAATCCATTATATTGGGTGTTTAATATGCTTCAATGAAACAATCAAATTTTATAGATTTTTAATTGAGCACAGTTAGAGATAAACTGAATTTAAGTTATCTTAAATAAGTTTCAGTCAAAAACCGCTTACCTGTCATAATTCTGCAACATAAATATTTGTGATATCAGGTGCACTTTAATTTCTAAAGTTGTTTTGCCATGACTAACATTATTAGTAAGTATCCAAAAGTTGGGTGAAAATTTTTGGAACCTTATTACACATAACATATGTGGAACTTCATGCAAAATAACTGACTAGAAGTTGACCCCTTTTTGTATTGCCTCAGTGGTTTAACTGGTATAGTTGGCCATCGATTTGTCAAAATAAAATTTTCAGGATATCGACACTGAGCGTTCACAAGGACCAATGTTGAAAACGTAAACAATGGCTTCTTTCGTAAATTTTTCGTAGTTCAAAGTCAATCTATGTAAGCCACCAAATAGGGGAACTCTCCCTCTACATAATCATACTTCATACTTGAGTGGTTTTTCATTCTCGAGAAATTCGCGGAAAAAGTAATTGTTTACGTTTGCGACATTGGCTCTTATGAAAGAGAAGCAGAATATGGTTGCATGCTCAGTAAGCATTGACGTTTTTCGACGACTCTGCATTGCAACTCTTTACTCCTATGGTAAAATCTCATAAACATCTGTCAATCTGTGCATGAAATCTAGCGAACTTTGTATTATCTCTTCACTCCATCATAGTACCAGTGAAGCGCCATCTATTCACGCAAAGCTTGACAGTATCTTATGGGATTTTCATAGGAGTGAAAGGGTAAGGAAATGTCCACCATGTTTCACGCACAGGCTGACGTTTGCTGAAGGGGAAATACCATAGGTGTAAAGAGTTACAGAGTAGCCGAAAAGGCGATTTGTATATTATCAAGGTAATGCGGCCATTCTTTTTTCGACTTGCTCTACAGGGGGCTTATCAAAGTATCTTTTTACTTGTATTTTCAAGTTGGTCAGAAGCGAATCAAAAGCGTTATTAACCTGAGTACTGCGGAGTAAATCGATTTCATTTTGCAAGCCAATGGAAAACTGCTTGACAATTTGTTCAAGTTTAAAATTGTTTTGTTCTTTCTCAGTTGATTACCGCCAAAAGCTCTGAGCCAGGAGTGCTCGAGCCCCCATGACTCTATCAAAGTTTGTTTACATACATGTTCGGCCAAAGTATGTTTTACTGCAATTGAAAACTCAGCTGAGTCATAAAAACTTTGCTGGTTTTTATACTTTCATTGGTTTTTGTCTTTGAGCTTACAATTAAGAATGTGTTATGAATAAGTATGAATCATTTTTATGAGATTGCAATGCTTGACGAGAGGTAAGAACAGTAACTGAGTTTGTTGCTTCTGAATGTTTGGCTCCCGTTTGACAGTTCTGACTGGCTCCCAAGTGACAAGCACATTGAGTGAGTCCGCAGTACCCAGTTATTAACCAGTATTTTTTTTTCACTGTGCTTTTAGTAAGTCATGTTATGAATGTTATGATTTCAGCACGAAATATTCTGTTGATGGATATTAACGTTTATATAAAAAAGTCGAAGTTTTTCTGAAAATGAAAGAAATGAAACTAGGGTAAGTGTGCCAGTTTTAGGCCCTAGTGGTGTTCAAATTGGCCCTAACTTAAATTCCCACATTCATCAGGTTTAAATTACACATATTTGTATTATTATAATTTTTTGCGATGCAAGGTTCGTACATATTCCTTTGGTTTGTTTTTTCCGTCGATCTTGTTTTCCGTGCTGAGCACCAATGCTACCGACGTGCCAGGAAGGCAGCTCCCACACCTGGACCCTACCTATCGACCCATCAACTCATGAACCGGGGACCAACGGCTTTACTTCCCATCCGAAGGAAGGCGTGGTCAGAGATGTTATGCCTCAGGACATCCCGGCGGCGCCGACTGGTATTAAACCCAGGCCTGCTGGGGTGAGAGGTAATTACGCTTACCACTACACAACCGGCGCCGTTGGGTTCGAACATATGTTTAATTTGAAAATATATTTCAAATTTGATTTAGGCCCTAGGGCGTAAAATAGATCCAAACAATTACTTTCGTTTGTAAATAGTGCTTAATCTTGATATGAAAAATAGCCTTTCCTGGTAACTTTAAAACAGCTAGCTGGAAGTCTTAGCCTAGGACCTTAGCCATAGTGGTCGAACAAAGTTTGTTAGGATCCTGTTTTGCCCCTCCTTTCCTTTTTAGATCAATCTTTCCAAGTTTTTCAATACAAAGTAATTTGAGTAGATCTTTGTGTTGGGGTTTGAGCAAAAAGTTACAATTGGCCGCAGTTAGAGAAACACATGGAGGGTTAAATCCTCCGGTATTGCAGGTATCGAAGCGCTCGATTTGATTTATCGTCCTGCTTACGAAATTCTTGTGAATGAGACGATGGTCACCTCAAAACACTGTATATTTTCAGCTTAAACCGGGCCACGTGTTGCAAAATTATGCTGCTTTTCTCTGGACTTCAAAATGTATGCAGTAAACTACTAATTTGCGCAGTTATATTTTTCCTCCTACGAATCCAAATGAATTCAAAGGTTGATACAGTTGGTTCCAAACAATTAGAAAAAAATTAACAAAAAACAGTTTACAGAAATAAAATAGAAAAAAATATCCGCGCTAATTTAGAATGAGAAGAATTGAAAAAGTATTCGCGTGGAGTTTCCCCACGTTTTTGCCATAACTACAGAGAAACAGTACCAGGTTATTATTATTTTAATAGAATTGACTACCCCTTGATTCCCTTTCTCATTTTATAGCTGGTATAATCAATTTGACAGATCGATGTCTTTCTATACTACTTGAAATCTCTGAAATGGTGTCGATTTTTGATGATCGAGTAACACATATGTTATGTGCTTATTATGAATAATAAAGGAACTGATTTTCTAACATTAAAAAAATATATATTAATTTTAGGATTGATTCAATAACTGCCCAATTTCAAAAAATTAAATAATTAAATGCTCATTTTGGATTAAAATTTCATTTTGTTTTAATATATTATTGAATGAAGCAGCTTAAATAATCTCGTAGTCCTACGTCAACAATGCGGTCTTGTTTAGGACACGTTTTTTTTTAACAATTACTTTAAATTTTGGTCAAGCATTACTGTTTGCTGTTACTGTTTCGGACGTCCAAGCAACTACATGAATCAATTAGCTAATTAGATACATTCCTCGAAAAGTTACTCTACGCCTTCTCTTTCCACGTCTGCCAGCAGTAGGTAAGCGTGATAAGAAGCGAAATGTTCACTTGACGCGATACACGTTCCCATATACCTCTACCGACTACAGTTCGGTTGCTACAGATAAATCACTGACACATATACAGACCCGGTGCTCCACATCCAAGGTCGAATCCATTGAGTTCCATCACTTCATTTCGCGAGCTATTTTCGCTGTCATTATCAGATTGCATTTCTGGACTGTTAGTAACCGTTCGTCGTGTATCGTCGTCACTAACCAGCTGTGATGACTAACTCTGGCTAGGGATGGTTATACAGTTGTATTCAATTCAGTGGAGAATTGTATCTTGAGGAGTATGTTGTCCGTTTGGCCATCCCAACCCTTTTGCCTTATCTAACCTACCGTTCCAGATAGCAGCGAGCAATCTTATCTTATGTATGGTTCTCCCTTCTTTCTTACAGATTGCCGGACACAGTCATTGTGATCGTGGTTAGCGCGACGGCCAGGTTGTGGCTCAGGCGTGGGCATCATACAGTAGGAGGCAGGAATTACGGTTCTCACCACAGTGCATAATCCGGCGTGTCGTCAGTGTAGGCCAGTGCCACCACGATGTGGGACTCCCAGCTAGTATGGGCTCGGGACTCCCAGACGGGATACATTCAGGGCCGAATATCGGAAATTGGTGCTCACGAGTATGAAGTCCAACCGGTGGACAGCAAGCAACCGAAGCGAAACTGCATCCTGGAGGATATCTTTCCATCGTGTGAGGCAGTCTCCGATCATGATGATAATTGTGAGTACATTCCGTATTTGTTCATTTCGTAGTTAGGCAATGAGTTTGCTCCTCGTGCAGAAGCAAGTTTACAGTATTGTTTCAAAAACAGTTTGATTGTATCAATTTTACGACACCGTTCTTCTGGTTGTTAGCCGTGCTAGAATATAGCAATTACGATGTACCAAGAAGGTACCAGCGTATGTGACTGTGCTTAGGGTGTCGCAATCGGCTCTGTGGCACCGAGTACGAGTAGAACTAAACAATAGCGTCAATAGTAGAAGCCGCTTCACAGCAAGTGAGCATACGTGAGGAAATAATGGAAAACCCATTTTCAAAGTCGTTTTTCACTTCTTTGACTTGAACAGTAGTGTCATACGAAAAGAACTAAGCACATATGGGGTGGCACTGATACAGTTACAGCTGGGGCATGTATTTCTTTTTTGTTTCGTGTTTTCATACAATACAAAACGTGTCACATGATGAAACATGCTGCTGCAGTTTAGGTGCAATTTTTAATTGTTGTATTAAAGCAGATCAAGATTGTTTTGAGATGTGATAGGAGCTCATCCGCCCCCTAATTGGTTGAAAATATCAAAAGTCGATCGTTTGAACAACCACAGGTAATTCTTCCACTTCTGCGCCACCCATTCCTCGATAATTAACGTTTCGCTGATTGGTCTTATCGAATCGATTTATTATGCCGGACTTTAAATGATATCTGCTCAACGGCAAAGACACTCGAAAATGGTTCATCGACTTCATTTAAGCTGGATTTTCTCGGAATACTTTAAGCACATACAAGTTTCATTAATTATAATTGCTTTCAACAAGGTATCAAAAGATCTCCAGTCTTCTTGTTTTGTTATATTATCGCTCAATTACTTACTAAACTCCCAGGGTCCACAATTAGACTTATTCCATATTCCTTCGAATCGTGATATTTTACTAAACCTTTGCCTTAATTGTGTTCAACAGGTGAATTAATGTTCCTTAATGAGGCTACTCTGCTAGATAACATCAAAAACCGCTATTATAAAGATAAAATCTATGTAAGTACACTTCGTCGCCAACTCTTCAGTATCCCCTCTCTAATACGGCAATTCTCTTCCCAACCACCTAGACATTCGTAGCCAACATCCTCATAGCAGTCAATCCGTACAAGGAGATCCGGGATCTGTACTCCAAAACCACCATCAAGAGGTACAATGGCAGATCGCTCGGTGAGTTGTCCCCGCATGTGTACGCCATCGCCGATAAAGCGATTCGCGACATGCGGGTCCTCAAGGTGTCCCAATCGATCATCGTTTCCGGCGAGTCCGGAGCGGGAAAGACTGAGAGTACCAAATATTTGCTAAAGTACCTGTGCGATGCCGCCTCGGCGGCGGGTCCCATCGAGCAAAAGATTCTGGATGCCAATCCGATTCTGGAAGCGTTCGGTAATGCGAAAACTACGCGGAACAATAACAGTTCTCGGTTCGGGAAGTTTATCGAGGTGCACTATGATAGCAAGTGTCAAGTTGTGGGCGGTTACATCTCCCACTATTTGCTGGAGAAGAGTAGGATCTGCACGCAGAGCCAGGAGGAGAGAAATTACCATGTGTTTTATTTGCTATGCGCGGGAGCTCCACAGCAACTGCGGGACAAGTTGATGATCGGGAAGCCGGATGACTATAGGTATCTGGCCGGGTGTACGCAGTATTTTTCAACGACGGTGACAGATAGGAAAATTCCCAATTCGCAAAAGTCGAGGAATCATATGGCGAAGGGTTCGCTGAAGGATCCGATTCTGGACGATTACAACGATTTCCATGATTTGGATCAAGCTTTGACGAGGTTGGGACTGTCCGATGGTCAGAAGTTTGAGATTTATGGACTAGTAGCGGCTGTGCTGCATTTGGGAAACATCAACTTCGAAGATAATCCGGAGGACGCCAAGGGAGGTTGCCGGGTTTCACAAAGTTCTGAAAAGGCGCTAGCAATTACAGCGAGTTTGATCGGACTGGATTCTTTCGAGCTGAGGCAAGCGTTAGTTTCCCGAGTGATGCAGAGCAAAGGTGGAGGTATCAAGGGAACGGTGATCATGGTTCCGCTGAAGATCTACGAAGCTAACAATGCCAGGGATGCGCTGGCGAAGGCCTTGTATTCAAGGCTTTTCGATCACATTGTATCGCTGATCAATCAGAATATTCCATTCCAAGCTTCTAGCTACTACATTGGTGTGTTGGATATTGCTGGATTCGGTAGGTTTGGCGTTTGATTGCTTTTGAGCATGATCCTTAACAACCATTTTCGGTTACAGAATATTTCACGGTGAATTCGTTTGAGCAATTCTGCATCAACTACTGCAACGAAAAGCTGCAGAAGTTCTTCAATGACAACATTTTGGCTGCCGAACAGGAACTCTACAAAAGAGAAGGACTTAACGTACCGGAAATCAAATTTACGGACAATCAGGACATTATAGGTATTTTGTCAACTTGTAGTATTGCAAACAACTGTAGACTACATTACATTTCGCTTCTTCAACAGAACTAATCGAGTCCAAGGCTAGTGGCATTTTCAATCTGCTCGACGAAGAATCAAAGCTACCGAAGCCTTCGTATGCGCATTTCACAGCGGAAGTACACAGCTCTTGGCAAGGTCACTACCGGTTGGCTTTGCCACGTGCTTCCCGCCTAAAGGCTCACCGAATCTTACGAGATGACGAAGGTTTCCTGGTACGCCACTTTGCCGGTGCGGTTTGCTACAATACCGTGAGTAGTCTTGTTTGATCAGCATCATTCCGACAATTGCTCAAAATTTATTTCGTTTCTAGAACCAATTCATCGAAAAGAACAACGATGCTCTGCATGCTTCCCTTGAGGGCCTCGTGCAGGAATCGGAGAATCCTCTGCTGAAGCGGCTGTTCTGCAATGGTAAGGCTCCCACCACCAAGGGTAAGCTGGCTTTCATCTCCGTTGGTTCCAAATTCAAAACCCAATTGGGTGAACTGATGGACAAGTTGGAAAAGAACGTAAGTCCGATGATGCGCTTGAATATCTGACAAACTCTTTAAATCTGATTTTTCCTTCAGGGCACAAATTTCATCCGTTGTATCAAGCCCAACAGTCGCATGGTTGACCACGAATTCGAAGGCGGTCTAGCGTTGGCGCAGCTCAAGTGTTCCGGTACCACTTCGGTGCTAGAGTTGATGGAGTACGGCTACCCCTCGCGAGTACCGTTCAACGAGCTGTACAACATGTACAAGTCGTTCCTTCCGCCGGAACTGGCCAAGCTTAATCCACGTACCTTCTGCGAGGCGATGCTGCATTCGCTGAAGCTGAACAACAATGATTTCAAATTCGGTATTACTAGGGTATTCTTCCGACCGGGCAAGTTTGTCGAATTCGACCGGATCATGAAATCCGATCCGGAGAACTTGCGGGCGATCATCGCAAATGTGAAGAAATGGCTAGTCCGTTCACGCTGGATCAAGTCCGTGTTCTGTGCAATCTGTGTGATCAAATGTGAGTACTAATCGACCTTTTAGCTCACTAAGTAGCATTATTTTCATAATACCAACTATTTCAGTGAAAAATCGCATCATCTATCGGAACAAATGCGTCCTGATAATGCAGAAAACAGTTCGCGGCTATCTAGCTCGCAAGCAACATCAACCGCGTATTAAGGGTATTGTTAAAATCAACGCAATCAAGGCTAACCTCAACAAGATGCACGAAATTGCCAACCAACTGAAGGTAGAACGGGAAAATATGCTGAACCAGGTGACCGATGTTCAACGGACGATTGAAACTGCTGTTTCCAAGATCAAGAGCAATCCCAAGATCTCCGCGGCGCAAATTGATGCTTTATACGGCGAAATCATGAATAAACTCGACACCCAGATGAAGACTATACACGTCAAGCTGCAGGAGCAGCGAAACGCGGAAGAACAGGATCGTTTGCGCAAGATCCAAGCTGCGTTGGAAGCGGAGCGAAAGGCCAAAGAAGAAGAAGAGCGAAGGGTGCGAGAGGAGGAGGATAATCGGAGGAAGTTAGTAGTCATCGACAACCAATATTAAAGATCGCTGCTAAATCAAATTCTGCATTTTTTACAGGAAAGCCGAAATGGAAGCTAGACGTAAAGAAGAAGAGGCTCGCCGGTTGAGACAGGAAGAGGAAGACCGGAAAGCTGCTCTTGCATTGCAGGTAACATTCAAATTCCAACCATTTTAAATCGCAGTTCGCTAATTGCTTGATGATTTACATTACTAGGCTCAGTTGGAAAAGGAGGCCCAAGAGGACATTCAGTATCGCCAGCAACTGGAGCAAGAACGACGGGATCATGAGTTGGCTCTTCGACTAGCGCAGGAATCCAACGGCCAAGTCGAGGACAGTCCACCCTTGCTGAGAAAGTATGAAACTCTATCCTATTTCTCTTTCCGTCCTTCACTTTACTCTCTAATGCTGTTCAGTTCTCCGAAATCTTACTTCCTTTCACCATACAGGGTAGAAGTAATTTTAAGACTTGTACAAAAAAGCGCTCAATCAGCTGTGTTGTTTGCTGCTTTAGATTTTCGGATTTGACTTCAAAATTATTTGCCATACTTACTTTTCTCGACTGTAAATAGTGAACCATGTTGGAGTAAGAATAAGCTTTGGTTATGTGAATTTCTACATTCATCACATTTGCTGTGATTTTACACACCCTCCATTTTCTACACAAAATTCAAAATTACACGAACCCTGTATAAAAATTTCCCTCCCTCTACAACCACACGGTTCTCTGATTCTTGTGGTGCCCCATAACGGGTGCCAACTCTTCCCTACTTCGTTATCTTTTTTTTTTTCTTTCGTACTCACTTCCTCTGTTACTGCTTTGATACTCGAAAATTTCAACCCAATAATGAAGAAAGCTACAGAGAAACAACTACAATTTTGTCATCCTACATTCGACCATTTCACAGCGGTACGCCAGAAGTTACGCCTTTGGGTAATCCGAATCGATTGATCAGGTACTTGTCGTTTATATTAAAACAAAAAAATAAAGCAGAATAGAGAAATTAGACCCCCCCCCCTACTCACTGCATCTCTCCCGATCTGCTTGCCCTGCTATTCATTTTGTGTTTGTAACCCTGTCTATGATATGTCTATGTAGTGACGAATTAAGTTGCTTGTCTTTTATGATATTTGTTGTAAATTTATTGCGTAGATTAGTTTATTTTTAGCTGCTTAACATTCTCTAACCTGTCAGCATAGTATTTTTCACAGCAACGAAATTTAAGATACAGCTTCATGTATTATTTACATTTTACGTTTGTAACATGCACTCAACAAACTGACATGTTTTAACCCTGTAATACTATCCAAAAACGCATACAAGACCCATTAGCAGTGTTCGGAAAATCATTCTCAAATCTCATTAATTGAGCCTCCCAGAGAGAATAAACTCCCATGCGAATCTGGCAAACAAATCTTACGCTTGAGATTCTCATGCAACTCCACGCAGTCACACTCACAATGCCAAAAATCATTCCAGCTTAAAACTCATAACAACCGGTCAAACTTCAATTGGTAGCATGCTCATACATATTAGTTTTCCATCCACTTAAGCAACAACGACACTAATAACAACGAATAACGCCAAAATATAAAACAATGATTTTTTAAACCTGAAAACTGATCGGTGATTGAATCCAGTTAAATTTCGCATGGCAAAACTCATAGGCGAATAAACTCACGAATGAGATTTGAGCCTTTGAGTTTTTCCGAACACTGCCCATCAGTATAGGAAATCAAGCAAAGATGTGACTGTTATGCTTTTATGGGCAGAATAGTTATTTAAAAATTACAGTACCATCAATGTTGTTCCAGTTGTAGCAAAGATTTAAAGAATTTATTTATGTTTAAAGACACTCAACAGCCTCCAAGATTCCATTTAATCTTTTAAAATTCCTGTTACAGTTTACTAAAAAATTGGTTGAGGGTGGATGATCATCTATTTATTTATTTATCGGTATAGTTTTGGACTTAATTTGCTGAAGTTTGAGCAATTTTAGTAAAACGTTCAAATTGTAACTTATTTGTCGTGGACGGATTTTAAAATAAGCATAGTTTCAAAAAGTTTGGTTCATTAAATTTTAAATAAATTAGGCGTTTTTCCAAAATAGCTCTAGCTAACTTCTTAAACACTCAACCAAAGAAGTCCAATATTATACCGATAATAGATAAATATGTGATGCGTCAGCAACCAAGAGTATTGACAGCTGTACGAGCAATTTCTTGATACACTGTAACTATAGCCTTAATTAAGTGATCGCCACTAGAAGTGTGACACTGATAACGAATTTGTTTTTGATTCAGTTCCAACTTAGATCGGGTATCAAGATTGGGTCTGCTTGTTGCCTGTCAAATGTCAGTGTGAACATTTGTTTTTGTAACCTGGCTCGGGTTGAGGTTCACACTGACAAGCTCGGGCTTGCACGGGTAACTGGTTCCAACCTGGATAATAAACAAATTCACTATAAGGCTATCCAAACCAAAAAATTTAGACCAAGCCAAAAATATATCCTTTTTCAATGCGCACGCATTATTCACAAGAGGTGATCTCTTGTGAATAATGCGTGCACATTGAAAAAGTATATAATTTTGGGCTTGGTCTGAATTTTTTGGTTTGGATAACCTTATAGCGGATTAAGCATAACTATTCCATCAGGGTACACACTTATAGCGAATTAGTTTATTATCGGGGCTAACACCAGTTCCAACCCAGTGCGAAACCGAACTTTTTGCCAGTGTGAACCTCAACCTGAGCTAGGTTTTAACAGCAAACGAGCAAACTGACGTTTGTCAGAAACCAAGCAGACTCAATCTTGATACCCGATCCAGGTTGGAACTGAATAATAAACGAATTCGCTATTAGAAATTACTATTTTTACATGTGACGCAATTCATATTTGACGTAAATCTTAAACGTAAACAAACTTGTCATGTAAACTCGACGAAAAGTGCGTTTGATTGAATTAATATTCTCGTCTCTTTCATAATGTCATAACCGGCCCATGTGTCGGTCTCAGGGCACTGTCTCAAATTTTCTTAACTTTTTCGGAGTATGTACTATATTCTGTTTAATGTTTTGCAAAATAATTGCTTGTTAAGTGCAAATTATCATTTTTTTAAAGTGGAGCTCTTCACACATTCGGGTTCAATGAGTCATTTTCATATGAATATGAACAGCAATCCGTCTCATCATTCACTGCCTCGTGAGAGTTTGAATGATTGGAAAGTTATCGAGTCACTGACAACAGATCACTCATTCAGTAGCTCAGTCAGCACGTTTATTCTTCCGTGATGGTACCCAACAGAGATACTAGACTTTTTTCTATGCAATTCCGTAGACTTATTCAAATCTACGGATTTCTACGGATTTTTTTGGTCGAAGGTGATATTTTTTTTAGTTCTAAGGTGTTATTTTAAGTAAAATGATAATTCGATGAAAGAACTTTTGAAAAACTACTAGGGACAGCCCTCTGGGGTTATACGCAATGGTGACATCGGACTACGTAGTATTATATAATAAATGTTATTTGCAGGAGCTTGTATTTTGTGTTGGAATAGGAATTTGAGCGGGGTTCTCTCTGATTATACTCTTTAGTATGACTATGATTGCCCTGAAAAAAAGCTTTTGATATGAATTTTAGTTTTTTTTTATTTTTTTTTTCCCTTTGGTTTGTTTTTTCCGTCGATCTTGTTTTCCGTGCTGAGCACCAATGCTACCAACGCCAGGAAGGCAGCTCCCACACCTGGACCCTACCTATCGACCCATCAACTCATGAACCGGGGACCAACGGCTTTACTTCCCATCCGAAGCAAGGCGTGATCAGAGATGTTATGCCTCAGAACATCCCGGCGGCGCCGACTGGGATTGAACCCAGGCCTGCTGGGGTGAGAGGTAATCACGCTTACCACTACACCACCGGCGACGTTAGAAATTTTAGTTGGGACATGTTCAGAAGCGTAACTCTTTTGGAAAATCTTGGTGACCCTGAAAAGGGCCGATGGTAGTACAGGCATGAATACCATAATACTGTTGCACTTGTAGTTTTTGGCATACTTTCACCGGGGATCCTTGTTAAGCCATAGAAAGATGTGCGCGTGAGGACTTCCACGGTGCTGAAATAGAATCGTGTCAACCAGCTTGATGAAGTACACACAGCACGTGACTGGATCATCATTGACCAGAGTTGCTGTTTGTAGTGCAGTCAATTCCTGGATTGGATCTGTTAAGTCATTGCCATTGTGTCCTTCTGACAATCGATGTAAAAGATTCAAAAAATGGGGCCACTTCATCTCATTTGCACTGAGTGTGAGAAACATCGTAGGCTTTCCCAATTGTCGCATCATGGTGAACAAATTTCTCTTCCTTTGTTGCCAATACTGTACTGAATTCGGTATTGATTTGAGGAAGGATAGATTTCGCTCAATGCACTGCTCCATGAATAAGGCGGTCCTTAAGGTTGACACGTGTGATGTTTACGGTCCCCGGGAACTTAAAAATGCATTGCAAGCCTTCAGAAACTCTAAGGCGAAGAACTTTCATTGTCATATACAACAAATGTTGTGGTTTGGCCACACGCCTGTCTTGACGACGAGTTTCACTGGATGCAATCATGAAATATGTCACGCCGTGCTCGTCATATATTAATGACAGAGGAACCCTGTTTTGCGCGGGAGCGATCTCCAGGCATTTGTCCTCATTCCAAAGGAGCGTTTCCTGTTGCCCAAGCAGCAATTCTGTCTCATTATCCACGGCAATGGTTTCCAGCTCAATTTGAGGAGCCACTTCAGGGGGTTTCAAGACCATCTTTGGCGATCTGATCAATTGTGATCCCGTAGCGGTGGTACAGTGGTGTCGTAATCTAATAAGAAAGCCACGCTTTAACCGTAGTTTCCTTTATAAAGCCGGACAAGTACGACGACTTATGGATTACGTGCTTTTTGATGATAGATATATCTTTTGACAGAAAGATTCAAACTTGTGTTTGAACCTGGGTCGACCAAAAGTCATGTTTTACCGAAAATATCACTGGCGGGTATGAAAATCTTTAAAGCGATTTATCTCCGGAAATACGGCTCTAATCGAGATTTGGAGGATTTTAAGGCGTCAGAAATTTTTTCCTCAAAAAATTGTCCCAACCTATTATTTTCTGGCTGGCGGGTGTGAAAATCTTTAAATCGATTTATCTCCGAAAATACGGCACTAATCGAGATTTGGAGGGTTTTTAGGAGTCAGATTTTTTTTCCTCAAAAAAAGGTCCGAACCCATTATCTCCGGAAATACGGCTCTAATCGAGATTTGGAGGGTTTTAAGATGTCAGAATTTTTTTCTTCAAATAAAAGGTCCCAACCCATTAATTTTTGGCTGGCGGGTAGAAAATCTTTAAATCGATTTATCTCCGGAAATACGACTCTAATCGAGATTTGGAGGGATTTTAGGTGTCAGATTTTTTTCCTCAAATAAAAGGTCCCAACCCATTAATTTTTGGCTGGCGGGTAGAAAATATTTAAATCGATTTATCTCCGGAAATACGGCTCTAATCGAGATTTGAGGGTTTTAGGTGTCAGAATTTTTTTTTCTTAAAAAAGGTCCCAACCCATTATCTCCGGAAATACGGCTCTAATCGAGATTTTGAGGGTTTTAAGATGTCAGAATTTTTTTCTTCAAAAAAAAGGTCCCAACCCATTATCTTCAGGCTGGTATGAAAATCTTTAAATCGATTTATCACCGGAAATACGGCTCTAATCGTGATTTGGAGGGTTTTTAGGTGTCAAATTTTTTTTCTTTAAAAAAAAGGTCCCAACGCATTATTTTCTGGCTGGCGGTTTATTTCGTTCATCGAAGAAAGCAATGAGAATTTTTTTACATTAGAACATTACATTTTTTTTACATTAGAACATTATCTTCAGGCTGGTATGAAAATCGTTAAATCGATTTATCTCCGGAAATACGGCTCTAATCGAGATTTGGAGGGTTTTCAGGTGTCCAATTTTTTTTCCTTTAAAAAGGTCCCAACCCATTAATTTCAGACTGGCGGGTATGAAAACCTTTAAATCGATTTATCACCGGCTGTAATCTTGATTTGGAGGGTTTATAGGTGGCAGAAATTTTTTCCTTAAAAAAAGGTCCCAACCTATTATTTTCTGGCTGGCGGGTATGAAAACCTTTAAATCGATTTATCTCCGGAAATACGGCTCTAATCAAGATTAGGAGGGTTTTTAGGTGTCAGAAATTTTTTCCTCAAAAAAAAAGGTCCCAACTTATTATTTTCTGACTGGCGGGTATGAAAATCTTTAAATCGATTTATCTCCGGAAATACGGCTCTAATCGAGATTTGGAGGGTTTTCAGGTGTCCAATTTTTTTTTCCTTTAAAAAGGTCCCAACCCATTAATTTCAGACTGGCGGGTATGAAAACCTTTAAATCGATTTATCTCCGGAGATACGGCTCTAATCGAGATTTGGAGGGTTTTTAGGTGTCAGAATTTTTTTCCTAAAAAAAAGGTCCCAACCCATTATTTTCTGGCTGGCGGGTATGAAAATCTTTAAATCGATTTATCTCCGGAAATACGGCTCTAATCAAGATTTGGAGGGTTTTAAGGTGTCAGAATTTTTTTCCTAAAAAAAAGGTCCCAACCCATTATTTTCTGGCTGGCGGGTATGAAAATCTTTAAATCGATTTATCTCCGGATATACGGCTCTAATCGAGATTTGGAGGGTTTTAAGGTGTCATATTTTTTTTCAAAAGGTCCCAACGCATTATTTTCTGGCTGGCGGGTATGAAAATCTTTAAATCGATTTATTTATTTCGTTCATCGAAGAAAGCAATGAGAATGAGAACGAAATCGTGCAGCTCGCACAAGCTACTACTCGTTTCTGATGTTGTTTGCGTGTGAGTGAGTAGTAAATGCAAAATGAAACGATTTTCTCATGCTTGCTTTTCATTAGCTTAAAAAAAAACTTTAAAAATCGGACAATTTGAGATATTTAGGTTTTTATTTATATTCTGAATTTTACCTTAAAATTACTTAAAGCATTTTTTATATATTTTTCCTAAAAAAAAAAAAACACATTGTTTTACTTTAGAATTTTATCTCAGACTTTATTTCGATCTGAAGTGCCGTTTCTGTGCTACAATGTTCAAAATTTTAAAGACGCCGTTTGGAAAATTTTATAACATCCAAAATGGCCAAATTGTAGCTTTAATGTGAATCATTGCTCTAAAAAAAATTATGCAAAATTGCATTCCAGAAAATAAACCATTCTGGGAAACCAGTTTACTAATATAATCGTTTTATTTCAAAATATCGAGCATTATATACTTGAAATGTCGTGAAGCTACGTATTTCCAAAATTATTTGGCCACCCTAAGAAAATCATCACTAGTAAATAATAATATCAAATTCAGTGACATTTTTTAATGTTTTTCCAGTTTCAAGTTCCATATTCATCATGAATATAAGAAGTAAAATGTTGACTCGTATGAAAATATAAAAAATAAGCACCTACTAAACAACCGGTAAGAATATTCTGTTCTCATGAAAATTTATAAATGGTAAAAAATTATCAGTTTTAGAATAAAAAGAAACATTTATTTGCTGTAGAATAAATTAAATTTAAAAATTACTGCCCATGGCTATATTTTTTTCAGTATTATGAATGATTGATTTTTTACCAAACAGCTGCTTTAAAACGACATTTCATATGATACAGTCATATTTCGAAACGGAATAATGTAAATCGGTAAATTTAAGTAGAACATCTGCTCAGATTTTGTTTTGTTCTTTTAACTGGAAAAATATCGTATCATGTAAGAATCCAATGGCCATATATGTACCAGCGGAAGGAATATTAACGATTAGTTAATAGAAACTACTGATAAACCTTATTTGCTGATTCAGAAATCTTACAACATTTATGACATTATGAGCTAGTCTAACACTTTTTGAATATTCACAGTAGAGAATAGTAAATGTTTAGACTAAAATTAAATGAATAGTCCCAGTGGGCTTCAAGACATGTTAGTGATTTTAGATTTTCAGGGGGGTGGCCGCATTACCCATATGACAAAACTGTTGAATATGCCTATCCTTAGCTGAATAAGCTAATGTTTGACCAAATAAGCTACAATACAAATCCAAATATTTGGCTTGAAGTAGCCAGTCAGCGTGGGTGCCTGGATTCACCGTGTTTTTTAAAGTAAGTTCTATAACTTTTGCGAAATAGTGCGAAATAATCAGCGAATCGAAACACATAAAGCAACCAACGATACAGACAAAACGGTTGCTACGACTACCATGACAAACTCGCTCTGTAACATAGCTCGATCAGAGTGGTAGAAGGATAATGCTATATTGCTTGCCTGCTTTGTTGCAATATACACGGATGAGGACATAGCTTGATCAGAATCGAGAAAAGACATAACAAAAAAATCCCATTAACACACGTGTATCATCTTCGGCTTTACTTCGTGAAGCAGCTGGCCAAAAATGTGCTCGTTTCCTTCTACCGCCTCGAGTGAGCTGTGTCGCACGGGCTGCTTGTCATGAAAAAAAGGAAGAAGATTATATCATTATTGCTTTCCACTTCTGACATAGCGTTATCATTCGGTTCGCTGATCGATTGTTATTTTGTCATTTGGAGATATTTTTGATTCCTTGGAAATACCACATTTATAACAGACCGGTATATATGTACTATTTTTGCACTTTTTCAAAAGTGTAATAGAACTTAATTTAAAAAAAAACACGGTGGATGGAGCACCCATGGTGACTGGGTACTTGACGGTATACATGTTCCACCAAAGTTTCAAATTTCACACAACGCATAATTTAATAACTCATGTCGTCGGGTACAGTCCCGTTGCACACATTCTAGGGATTACAGCAACATTACGACACCATGCAAAGCACGTAGTTGTAGTAACGCACGCTATTTTGTCCAATTGCAGTAGTGAAACTAGAAAGTCCCCCTCTGCCTTTAAACAAAATAATGCCCTGTGGTCACATTCACCACTAACATTCTCTCTCCGCATTCCTAGATCTGAAGCAATCCGTGCCCAGCAGCAACTGATCGAGAAGCAGAAGCACGATCTTTCCAAGTGGAAGTACTCGGAGCTGCGCGATGCTATCAACACCAGCTGTGACATCGAACTGTTGGAAGCTTGCCGGCATGAGTTCCACCGCCGTCTGAAGGTTTACCACGCCTGGAAGGCAAAGAACCGCAAGCGTACTACCATGGAAGAGAACGAACGGGCCCCGCGTAGCGTCATGGAAGCTGGTAAGTTAAGATTTGTTGAACATTTGAATTTCGGTCTAATAAATTGATCCTCCAATAGCTGCTCGAGCCCCACCCAGACTGTCGCAGAAGCAGGAAATTACCACCGGATCGGTACACCGCTATTTCCGCATCCCATTTGTGCGGCCAAGCATCAACCAGGAGGACAATAACAAACGGGGCTGGTGGTACGCCCACTTCGATGGGCAGTACGTGGCCCGTCAGATGGAACTGCACGCGGATAAGCCACCGATTTTGCTCGTTGCCGGTGTGGATGATATGCAGATGTGCGAGCTGAGTCTGGAGGAGACGGGACTGACGCGAAAACGGGGTGCCGAAATACTCGAGCACGAATTCAACCGTGAGTGGGAACGGAACGGTGGTAAGCCTTTCAAAAAGGTAGGTAAATAAAACTGCGGGTGTTTGGAAGATTTGTTTTGAAAAATATTGTATTTTAAATTAGTTGAAAATACCAGAAAGGGCAGCATGGTTTTAATAGGTCTACTGTAACAAACCTGTATGCTTTTGAGTGTCTTGTGTTTCGGTGCCTTTTTGGAAACAAACGAAAAAAAAGAGAGATAGTATTTCATTCAGTTACATTCCGGGTGGTTTTGAGAATTGAATTCCAATTCGTGTTTGAGTATTCCACTATATTTCATGCAATATTTTTCGTCTTACGTTTTACATATACATATAACAGTAATATCGCAAAAAAAGTCAGCTTTTTAATAGAATGAGCTCAGTACGAATGACTGTTTTAATTTATGCTTAACGACAATTGACTATTGAAGGATAAACCTATGAACATTATGCAAATGGAGGATATTTTTACGGACCTAGAGAAAGTGTGTAGCGTTGGGAACAAAACTACGCTGCACTTACCATCCTATATATTTATTTGCAAACAAAAGAAAAAAAATAAAACAGATTATAAAAACATGAACGTTTCGTTAAAAGACAAACAAGCGAAATTTGCCGTCTATAAATAAAGAACTCCTATATCCGTTCTATATAATACTTGTTGGTGTCTGAGACCATTTATAGTAAGAGTGTTTAACAAAGACTTTTCATAGTAGATAATAAACAATTATTTTTACATAGATAATTTTGACCAAATCGTTTCAAAAACAAAACTACTTTTCAATGAACAACAAACTTGCAAATCTTAATCTAGATTCTCATAGCTTCCAAACGACAGCTGTAGTTCCGAACGTAGAGTTAGTTAAACAAAATTGAACAGACTTAAATTTAACACTCTACTAACAATAAAAAGTGCTGATGTTTTTATGACAAAATTGAGACCCCTTATCATTACACTGTCGGATAGAACAAAAGAAAATTCCATCATGTGGGACAATGAAATGGCTGCCATTTGCCCACCCAGTAGCAGCATATAATAAATGGTTAACTTATTGGTCAGATAACTGCCATCAACCATAAACGTGTGCTATCTCATTGTCTTGTCCAAGTCCGAGGAGCGAATCATGCCCACCAAATTCGACAATTGGCCATCGCATTATATTTTTGAATGCTAGAAGATTCGGCGCTCTGTGTGGTTCCTAATTGAACTTTTTTCGCGCTCACTTTGTATGTAGTTCAAACCGTGTTGTAGGCAACAATAACAACAACAACAGGAGCAGACATCACCGGAGAAAAGGTTAATAACCGCAGTCTGTTCACGTTCAATTGAGGTTATGGCCTTGGCTCTGATGTGAGCCAATTTCACGGTTGATCATATAAGATTGTGTGAGGTCGTTTCCTAGATGATCTCTAAAATGAACTGAAATTACGAAAGTGTTGTGTGATCATCTAATGACAACGTGCTGCATTCGCGCAAGCATAGTGGCTGCCGAGCTACGGTTTGTTGCATTAAAAAGCGTCGCCAGGGGGATGACGATAAAATTACTTTCATTGTTGCAGAACGCTACTTGGACACATTTTTTTTTTTCGAGAAAGAAGAGTTGATTGTGCCTAGTAGGAAACGTTATTTATTATCACGAAACAAAATGTGTACAAATTACCACCATTGACCTTCAGATGCTCTTAGAAATTTCAGAAAACTGCCATCATGATTTGGATAGTTTTGAAAATTCAATTAGCTGTAAAACAAATCATTTGTTAATCGTTTTCTATACAAGAAATTGTGTTTTTCAAGAATCATGTCAGGAACCAGTTCAGGTTTTCTCACTCAAATTATGGGGATTAGCTTTCTATCTTGAATGTACAAGCACACTAAATAATTCAATCTGTTTATAGATCAATAACAGCGCCGGCCATGTCCTCACGATCTTTTTGGGGGAGGGAATGATGATTAGTTCGACGTCCGCTATTTCTTGAGATCGAATACACCTCTGCATCTCCACGGCTGTCACGAGCAGAATAAGAAGCGTTTTAAAACTTCTCTCCCATACTTCGCACCATGCAAAATTTCATCAAGCCATTTTCAAGATGGCCGCGCCACACATCAAAGTTCATAATTTCAGTTGTTAATTGAGAGCTTTCTAAGCCTGTGCCATGCTTGCATTAAGATACATTTTGTACGGTAAGTTCAATCATACTCTCAGAGAAGTCGAGAATTTTTCTTTCCTAGACCGTACCGGGAATCGAACCCAGCCGCCTGCAGCATGGTCTAACTTTACAACTGCGCCTTTGCCGACTGAGCTAAGGGAGGCTCATAACTCGACCAGTGGAGGCTATATTGAGAGTCTACGATAACAATGTCCATTCTGGATATTTTACGGTGCTCCCGTGGAAGTGACCAATGCTCCACAAGAAACCAAACACTCTATGCGGCATAAAAAATTTCAAGTTTTTTTTACGTAGGACTATGTCTGTGATTTCTATATGGGGGTACACTTTGTAAAAACAGAAAATGAAACATGTAACAAAATTATGAAAGATTTTAAACGTTAATAACTCAGCTGCCCCTGGACCAATTTCAATAATTTTATCACCATTCGATCAAAAATATTTCTACGCATCTGCTTAATTCAAGGCTCTATCATTTTTCAAAATAACACTATTTAAAATTGCACGAATGTATCACCGATTGCCTGCGAAAAGCGATTTCCATAACACAGATTTCAAAGTTGAATTCCATCCGGTCTCACCAAACGGTGTTTATTCAATCTGCTGACTATCAAAACTGCCCTCAACCGCTGATTGGATTCAGTTCCAATCACCGTGTGTGGTGGTGTCCGGTCGTTGGCATCAGCAGCAGCAGCAATGCTTTCGGCGCGTGGTGTTGAACATTGTTCTCCAGTACACAACAAAAGGCTGCCTGCAAGCAGCGAGCTGCAGCCCACATGAGCATCCATGGAAGGAGGAAGTAGCCGCATCGCTATTGATCGGAATCAGTAGCTCTTCGTGAGTCGCTGTGGGCCATCTATGTCAAGCGCGTCATACTAAAGAGTATAAACAGAGAGAACCCCGCTCAAATTCCTATTCCTACAGTTCCTACAGTTCCTGCTGCAGTTAACAAATAACATTTATTATATAAGACCAGGCTTCCAAAAAGTACAGCCTCCTCGCGACAGTTGGTTTATACTCGAATTGACTGTTGCTTTGTGTGCTTTACTATCGCTTGCTACCGTACGTTCAGATCTGAATTCGAAGTGTATTGGCAACAGCGCACGCACCAACGAATGAAAGCTGTATTAGAACAGTCGCATCTATACCCGCTTTGCTAAAATCATCGTGCTTGGAACGTAGTGAACCGAATGGGCTGTATTTATACATTTCTTTATGACCAGGTTCTCAATGTTTCTGTCGTCATAACAGCCTTCACAAACCGACGACATCCCTAAGCTTACCCAAGTGGCTGTCACGAAAAGGCTGTCACGAGACATTATATACAATTAATATACGGCAGTAGAGTATGGAAGAAACCCAGAAGAATGATCCCGAACAGATATGTCGGATCAATGTAAGGTCAATTTACGGTCGACGTCGGGTCAATTATGTGTTTATGTCGGGTCAATGTCGGGCCAACATCGGGTTGGGGTTTGGTAGAAGTCAGGTTGGTGTCGGGTAGGCTTATATTTTTCGCCAGAGACCGTGCGTTTTTAAAAAAATATCGGATGAAAATTTTGCAATGGGCAGCACGAACGTGATATCAACCGAATGAGCTCCGGCGCAACACTGGTAGTGTAGTAGCAGTCTTACGACATACAAACGAAATTTCAAAGCCAGCAGCAACGAATCGGCAGTTTGACGGACTGCTTGTTGTATGTACGAGGAACGTTACGAATGACCATCCGAGGCTGTCATAGCCGAACGAACAAAATACATGACTAAGAACGAGCTGTCGTGTACTGCACAAGACGGCAACGTTGCATGTCGTATAACAGCCTCACTGTGGGCTGTCGCTTATAGCTCAATCTCAAGGCTGTCGTAGGAAAAAGAAAGCGACAGCCGTTGGAATACTGTCATGAGGCGGTACTTTTGGTATGCCTGTATAAGACCACGTAGTCCTACGTCACCATTGCGTACAACCCCTGTCCCTTGTAGTTTTTTTTTTTCAAAATTCGACCAGTGGATGTCATATTGAAAGCCTTCGATCGAAATTACCATCCTGGACATTTCCCGGTGCCCCCGAGGAAGTGGACAGTTCTAGAAATGAACAACACTCCACCATACGACAAATCAAAATCATAATTTTTCAAAAATTGTTCAATGATGGTCAAATCGGTGTGATTTCAGAACATTTTTTTTTTTTTTTTTTTTTTCTTTATTAAAGAGACAACAATTTCTATTTTACCGTATACGTGATAATGTTTGCACCATCGTACAAATAAGGTTCCCGTTTTACCTGTGCCTTGGTTTTCTTTGCATGCACGTAACCTATAGCTCATACCGTAGTAGGCTGTGTATAAAAGAAAATGTCGCAAAAAGACATTTCAATCGCCGTGGGAGTGTCCCGGTGGACCGTCAAAAGGACCGAGAAAAGAAAGGACAACTATCCGCGAAGGTGGCCACAGGTCGTTCGAGGTCAGCTCGGGTTATCGCTGCTATCAAAAGGAAGATTCGGGTGAATCCAGTGCGTTCAATAAGGAAAATGGCAAAGGAACACGGGATCAGTGATTTTACGGCACGGAAGATCGTAAAGGAAGATTGCAGGGCGAAGTCGAGGGCACGGAAAAAACTCACATGATTACCAACCGCATCCGGGAGTGACGAGTCGAACGATGCAAGAAAATCTTGAACTTCCTTAAGCGAAAAAATCCGGTAATCCTGTTCACCGACGAGAGCATGTTTACTGACCGGTATATTAGTTCTCTTCCGGTAAAAGACGTGGCCGACGAGCACAAGAACGTGTATCTGACCAAGTATCCTGCTAGCGTTATGGTGTTTGGATTGGTGGCTTCCGATGGCCAAAAAATGAACCCGGTGTTCATTCCAGAAGGCGACAAGGTCAACACGGAGGTCTACATCGGGATTTTAAGTAAGTATGTTCTTCCATGGATCAAAGAACAGTACGGTCCGTGCCACACATCGAACCGCACTCATAAGTGGTTGCAGGAACATCTTCCGTTCTGAGCGAAGGATATGTGGCCGCCATCCAGCCCCGCTCTTAGTCCGGTGGATTACTCAATATGGCGCGTCATGAAGGCCAAGACCTGTTCTAAACGCCACCAGAGTACAGCAAGCCTCAGACAAACATTGACCCGTACCTGGAGAGAAATGGATCCAGACTACATTATTAGAACCTGCCGTGCATTCCGGAAGCGTGTGGAGGCCGTAATTGCAGCAAGTGGAAACTCGATCGATGATTAACATAGTTTAAGACTCTGAGAAACATCCCCCCTTTGAATAAATAAAAAAAAACTCGAAAGCGAACTGCCTAGTTGTTGGATATAAACCCGTCGGGGCTCAAGACGAGCTAAAACCATCCTTTTTTGAGTTATAGCGCGACATACGAACACCATTCCATTTGTATTTATAGAAGATGAAGAAGAAGAGAAAGATTGTTTCACTCGAGAGGATCAAGGAAATTTTAAAGGCTGTGAGAAACCATCATCATCATTTACCATTCTTGTTTAGAACTTTGATTTTATTTTTTCGATAATTCTAGGCAGTCTTGACAAAAATCAAGATACTGAACTTACCAAATTATTTTTTAATTAACCTTGGAAAAACTTTTAAGTTTTTGAGACTAAAATAAATGTTCAAGATTTAAAAATTAAAAAAAAATGTCAATGATCCCGATAAAATATAGCATTTAATCAATTGCAAAATCGGAATTCAATTTTCAGAATTTAAAATGAATTCATTTCAGAATGTCCTTTGATTTTTACTCCATCCCTTGGAATTCTATTCACTTTGAACGTTTCCTGAGAATTTGCTGGTAATAAATTCCATAGATTTCTCATTAAAAATTATTTGAATTTGAAGCCAGAACTCTCCTGGAATTCATTTCCGAGTTCCTTTGAAGTTTTCCTGGAATTATATTCAGATATTATATTTCTATATTCCTATATTATTATATTCCTCCTTTTAGTATACTCCCGAAGTATTCGCCGAAAATTTCCTTGGATACTTGGAATTTGAATTTCCTTGAAAAGGACTCCGAATACATTAGGATTTAACGTCAGAAATTCGTATGAATTTTCATTAAAATTTCATTCGGATCCTATTCAGGGTTTACTTAACGCTTCTGTAGCGAGCGTTTTGCCGGCTCTCAACTTATAGCCATTTTTTTATCGGGGTTGGAACCAGTTGCGAAACCGAACACTTTGTCAGTGCGAACCTTAACCTGAGGTTGGTTTTAAAAACAAACGAACTGACAGGCAGACTCAATCTTGATACCCCATCCAGGATTGAACTGAATCAAAAACAAATTCGGTATCAAGGGCCACCCACATTAGATCCGTTTGCGTTATGTTGACGTAAATTTGACAGTTAGACAATAGATTTAGCTGTCACTTTGCCGCAACGCGTCCGATCCGGATCTAATGTGCGTTGGCCTTCAGTGTTCCAGTTGCACTTAATTCAAGCTAATGGAACAAGCAATTATCTAGCTTTGTATACGACAAATACGACAAGAAACGGTTCAGTACCCAAGTTATTAACAAAAGAGGAAGTCGATGAAGAGAATTGATAAATGTTACTTAGGCCCTAATGTATTGTTCAGCTTGAATTGAGATCTTTCTACGAGTTTTTAACCCGTTACGATTATTGTGAAACGCGTGAAAGCCAACCACTATGCCAGGCCCGTCCCCTAGAATAATGTTCTGATCTTGAATACTTCTTTGTATTTTTATTGATGTGATTTTTTATAAATATGTGAATAAACACACCTGAACAAAAAAGTTATAAATGACTAAACTCAAGGATTTGTATCAAATGAACCGAACTGGTTTAACGTCATGTTTCATTGAATCCTTCCGAATGCGATTAAATTTTCATCGGTAAAATCGATCCACCCGGCTCCAGACCCAATTAAATAATAGATGCGATCATTTTCCGCGAAATTGCAATACACCAGCATCATTGTTCCAGGGGCGGGTGACTGCATGCTGCTGCTGCTGCAAGTAATCACACTCTCTTCGCGCCAGCCGTTTTCTCAGAGATATTTCTATACATCACCTCTCATTCGAGTCGGTCAGTGCTCATAAAGCAGCTACATACCAACATGTAGGAGTGGTTCGCGAAATTCGCGGTAGATTCTCTCAGCACATCACGCGGATCTCCGCCACACGTATGACCGGCGGCAACGACCGCTTTTTTTAAAATGATAGTTCCTTCGAGCGCGGTCGCTCAGTTCCGTGTGGACAAGCGTGCCGATAAGACAACCCGACACAGAAGACACCGCTCACTACCAAGTATAAGAGATAATCTTCCTTCGGTAAGAGTATCGGTCCTGCCTATATCGGGTTGCTTCTTATCAGTTCAATTACGTTTATCAATTTATTGGTGCGCAGACTTCGGTGGTACCGCGCGGAACCAATCTACCTACACGTCATTGTATCACAACTACGTGAGATATTAAATCGGAGATTTCCGACCATAGGACGCACAAGTGCACTGCGAACGTCCGAAGCGACAACAACACGTCACATAGCCGGTGCTAATTTGATTAATTTTTGTGCTGCTTCTCCGAAGAGGTTTCAAACAACAAGAGCGTCGAATTTCGCAGATCTTGCGAAGAAGCGGATACGCGGTTTCCAGTTCCTCAGTGAGCGGTGATTAATTTTGCGTCACATTGCCTCAGAAGTAGGCTATACTGCGCAGCTTAGCTCACTTGGATGGTATTTATTGATTGGATGTGAAGGAATGTAGTTTATTCGGGGTATTCCAAGTAACCAGTCCGCAAGAAAATTCAAGTGTCGCGAAGGTGATGTGTATTGTGCTCTATGAGTAATATCTAGTGAATAACCAACGGATCAATACAGTCTGTACCAAATAGAACCGGTATTGTCCGTCGGCAAAATAGCTACGAAGAATTGTGTGTGTGCGTAGACGGATTAACCTATCGAAAGTGTGACCGATAGAGCGTAAGATATGCTAAGTGTTTTGATCAATTGTTGTGATCGGTAAACGTGTGCGAAAAAAAAGGTTCAAGGTGCTAATATTTAAAACGCATCAAATTTGTTTCATCAGCTCAACTCACGGTAGTTCTACGAACCAATTCCGTGAGATCTGAAGTCATCTTCTGGATAAAAGAGTTGCATCAAAATAAGAATTGCTATCAGTGCTTCCTTCGAACCGTGTGTAAAACGAAGATGAAGGTCAACTTGCGAGTGCTGCTGTCGTTTCTAGTCTTTGTAGCTGCAAAATCCGGTAAGTTTCGCGGAGATAAAAGTGTCGTCTTTTTTGTTTTATTTTGAAAAACAGGTTTGAGGAAGCTTAGAGTCTGTTTGCTACGATGCCATGCGACGATCATGATGTGATGTGATCTGTGCTAAATGTGATGCGATTCAGCTATGATCTAACAAGCCCAATTGAGTAAACTGTTCTCTTAATAATAACCTTTGAGGATTCAGTCAAAAAACGACCTTGTTCTTATGATATGGCTAAAATAACTGTTTTGGCTTAGGTTTGCTCCTGTGATTCTTAATAAATTCGATTCTAAATAGTGGTTATGGATTGTTTTGTTTAAAATCATTAATATTTTAATTGTTTTTCACTAGTCATTCAGTTAAGTTCTCAAAAATAATGAGCAAACCGAAAAGCTTAAATAATTACTGAACGGACCAAAAAGTTCTGGATCACCTGTGTTACCATAGGAAGGAGAGGGTTGAGTTTTGAGATCCAGTAATGAGTCGGGACTTACTTTCAAACAAGCCCATTTTTCAATATAACTCTTTTACATCGCAATCATATTGTAACTTTCGTTCAACCGAATTTGCAGCGAGATACTAATTCCAGGGTGACCACCCATTCGTAAAACCACCCATTCGCCGATGATCTGTGTAGTGTTTTTTTGATTCTATAACTGGATGCATTAATTAATAAAATTGAATTGTTTTATTTGCGAGATTTTTAGCGCAATAACTCGATACAGTCAGCTCTTCATATCTCGATGTTCTATATCTCGATACGTGATATTCGTCAATTTTAAGATAATAACGCTATCCACTATCAATTGGTATCTACTTTCATATTACGTGATAAAACTATGGACTTTGATCAAGAAAAATGTGAAAACAACATCAAGTCAGTTTGCCCCATCAAGCAAAGTAATCGCATATCAGTCTCATCCTGAAATTCAAGCGTCCAGAAGTCAGTTTATTTCATCAACCGATGTAGACTTGTACATATACAAGTTTTTCTTAGGAATATAAAAAAAATATTGTCTGCTATTCTATTTCTACTTCTTACGAACGGTGCCGATGGTGTAGCGATAAGCGTGATTACCTCTCACCCCAGCAGGCCTGGGTTCAATCCCAGTTGGCACCGCCGGGATGTTCTGATGCATAACATCTCTGATCACGCCTTCCTTCGGATGGGAAGTAAAGCCGTTGGTCCCCGGTTCATGAGTTGATGGGTCGATAGGTAGGGTCCAGGTGTGGGAGCTGCCTTCCTGGCGTCGGTAGCATTGGTGCTCAGCACGGAAAACAAGATCGAAGGAAAACAAACCAAAGGAAAGAATTAAAAATACTTCTTACGAGTTATGATTCCGTATGGAGTTAAAATATTGTTTTAGTTTATGCCGAGACATTGAAAAGTCAATGGTTCCGCAGTAAGGCGCCATCATGCGTTTAAATGGCCCAAATTTTGCATAATTTGTGCGATGCTGGGTTATGGCAAATAAATCTCGGGTTCTGAGTTGTCGAGTAGGTGCATAAAAATTTAATTTTTATGAAAGTTCTGCTGAGTTAATGCGTTGCGAAACGATATCGTTTACAAACGGAACCATTGCATATTCACGTCGCTCTTTTAATGTTTGTGTGTTTATAAGTTCCAAATACCGAAGAAAGAAATACGGATCGGAACAATCGGCACAGACCTACACGACGAAATAAGGACTACGATTGGAAACTCGGAACATGGAACTGCAAATCGCTCGGCTTCCCGGGTTGCGATAGGTTAATCTATGACGAACTTCAACCACGCAACTTCGAAGTCGTAGCACTGCAGGAACTTTGCTGGACGGGACAAAAGGTATGGAAAAGCGGGCATCGAGCGGCTACTTTCTACCAGAGCTGTGGCACCACCAACGAGCTGGGAACCGGCTTTGTAGTGTTGGGTAAGATGCGCCAACGCGTGATTGGGTGGCAGCCGATCAACGCGAGGATGTGCAAGTTGAGGATTAAGGGCCGTTTCTTCAACTACAGCATCATCAACGTGCACTGCCGACACTGTACGACGGCTGTTCGCAACGGGACGTCAAAATCGTCATCGGCGACATGAACGCTCAGGTAGGACGGGAGGCAATGTATAGACCGGCAATCGGGCCAAACAGCCTGCATGCCGTATCGAACGACAACGGCCAACGATGCGTGAACTTTGCAGCCTCCCGGGGTATGGTAGTTCGAAGTACCTTTTTCCCCCGCAAGGATATCCACAAAGCCACCTGGAGATCACCTGACCAACACACAGAAAACCAAATCGATCACGTTCTAATCGACGGGAAATTCTTCTCCGACATTATCAACGTCCGCACGTACCGCAGTGCGAACATATATTCGGACCACTACCTAGTTGCAGTATGCATGCGCTCAAAACTCTCGACGGTGCATAACACACGTCGAAGTCGAACGCCACGACCCAACATTGAGCAACTACGGGACACCGGAGTTGCCCAGGACTACGCGCAGCAGCTGGAAGTTGCACTACCCACGGAAGAGCAGCTTGGCGCAGCTTCTCTTGAAGATGGCTGGAGGGACATCCGTTCAGCCATAGGTAGTACTGCTGCAGCGGCACTAGGTACTGCAATCCCGGACCGAAGAAATGACTGGTTTGACGGCGAATGCAAACTGTTAGTAGAGGAGAAGAATGCAGCACGGGCGAGAATGCTGCAACACCGCACGAGATTGAATGTGGAGCGATACAGACAAGCGCGGAACAGACAAAACTCGGTTTTCCGAAGGAAGAAGCGTCAGCAGGAAGACCGAGATCGCGAGGCGATGGAAAATCTGTACCGCGTAAACGACACACGGAAGTTCTACGAGAAGCTAAATAGTTCGCGCAAAGGCTACGTGCCGCAAGCCGATATGTGCAAGGACTTGGACGGTAACCTTCTCACGAACGAGTGTGAGGTGATTGAGAGGTGGAAGCAGTACTGTGACGAGCACCTCAACGGTGAAGCAGCAGAAAACGAAGGTGGCACGGCAACAGACCTTGGAGCACGCGCAGAAGACGGCAGGCTACCGGCCCCTGATCTTCAAGAAGTTGAAGAGGAGATCGGTCGGCTGAAGAACAACAAAGCAACTGGTGTAGATCAACTACCAAGTGAGCTATTGAAATACGGTGGTGAAGCACTGGCTAGAGCGCTGCACTGGGTAATTGCCAAGATTTGGGAGGAGGAGATATTACCGGAGGAGTGGATGGAAGGTGTCGTATGCCCAATCTACAAAAAGGGCGACAAGTTGGATTGCTGCAACTACCGCGCGATCACACTGCTGAGCGCCGCCTACAAGGTACTCTCCCAAATTCTATGCCGCCGTCTGTCACCATATGCAAGAGAGTTCGTGGGGCAATACCAGGCGGGATTCATGGGTGCCCGCGCTACCACGGACCAAATTTTCGCGATTCGGCAGGTTCTGCAGAAATGCCGCGAATACAACGTGCCCACACATCATTTGTTCATCGATTTCAAATCCGCATACGACACAATCGATCGAGATCAGCTATGGCAGATTATGCACGAGTACGGATTTCCGGATAAACTGACGCGATTGGTCAAGGCGACGATGGATCGAGTGACGTGCGTTGTTCGAGTATCGGGGACACTCTCGAGTCCCTTTGAATCTCGAAGGGGGTTACGGCAGGGTGATGGACTTTCGTGTCTGCTGTTCAACATCGCGTTAGAAGGTGTGATCAGAAGAGCTGGGATAGACACGAGTGGCACGATATTCAGGAAGTCCATCCAGCTCCTTGGTTTCGCCGATGACATTGACATTATGGCACGGAACTTTGAGATGATGGCGGAAACGTACATCAGACTGAAGGCTGAAGCTAGACAGATTGGACTTGCCATCAACGCATCAAAGACAAAATACATGAAAGCAAGAGGTTCTAGGGAAGACAATGTTAGCCTCCCACCCCGAGTTCAGATTGACGGTGACGAAATCGAGGTGGTCGATGAGTTCGTGTATTTGGGCTCACTGGTGACCGCCGAAAATGATACCAGCAGAGAAATTCAAAGACGCATTATGGCAGGGAATCGTGCCTACTTTGGACTCCGGAGGACGCTCCGGTCGAATAAAATTCGCCGCCGCACGAAGTTGACTGTCTACAAGACGCTGATTAGACCGGTGGTCCTTTACGGCCACGAGACCTGGACTATGCTCGTGGAGGACCAACGCGCCCTTGGTGTTTTCGAACGGAAGGTGTTGCGTACCATCTACGGTGGAGTGCAGATGGATGACGGAACGTGGAGGAGGCGAATGAACCACGAATTGCACCAGCTGCTGGGAGAACCATCCATCGTCCACATTGCAAAAATTGGGCGACTACGGTGGGCTGGGCACGTCGTAAGAATGCCGCACGACGACCCAGTGAAAATGGTTCTAGAAAGCGACCCAACAGGAACAAGAAGAAGAGGCGCGCAGCGGGCAAGGTGGATCGACCAAGTAGAAGGTGACCTGCGGACCCTTCGCAGACTACGAGGCTGGCGAACTGTGGCCATGGATCGAGTAGAGTGGAGACGACTTCTTCGGACAGCAGAGGACAACAAGGCCTTAGCCTGATTGGTAAGGTAAGTAAGTGTTTATAAGCATGCAGCGTGCTTCATATGATGGAAGAGGAAATGATGTTCAACCTAATTTATGAAGGGCATATAATAGAAATTGTAGTTCTTGTTTCTAGTATTGACCTCACATAGGCAATATATCAAGAACAACATGTGAAAAGGGCATACAAGCTTTTTGTAAACAAACTTTCTTATGCCCTTTTCTCGCCATCCATATGACACCGACGCAAACCATCAACATCACCTGGTAGGGAAAACTTTCCCCTTCCCTATGATGTTGTTGGTTTGCGTGGGCGACCCTCATTTGGCGAGAAAAGGGCATACAAAGGTTTGCTTGCATAAAGCTTGTATGCCCTTTTCACATGTGGTTCTTAATATAGTGGTTTTAATTATGTATGGGTCCTGAAAGTTATAGCAAAAGCGC